TTGCTCAATTCTATTAGGTTGGTCGAAAAGTCCTGCGACACTTTGTTTGAACTATTCTAGAAAAAGACCAAAAATCATTTTGAATGTTTTTATCTCTGATTAGTGGAGAATGTCTCCTGAGGTTTCTGAAAATGGGTATATCATGGCTCCGTGGAAGTTTTCAAAGCTTAAAAATACCTCAAAGATCGAGGTACTCCTCGACCTGTCCCATATTATGAGTTCCTGTAGGGCAACTCCCCCATAGTCGAGGAAGCTAACTCTTACGTTGTCTTAAGGAAGGATATCGCTTGCCATAGCAGAGAGTTCCTTTTGCATCAGCGCTTCCAGGCTGGACTTATTCAACTCGGAAGTAGGCAATGTATAGGTAGGCCACCAGCACAGAATGACGGCCCTTTACTCAAGGTTCTTGAGGCGCAGCCGAACGTAACCACCAGTAAGTAGGCAACCTCTCTAGGCTCCACCTAACTGACAACTGCCATGCTTCTCCGCAGTCTCGGTTTTTGGAAAAATTTTTATGAAGGATGCCCCATGAGTTGAACCCCTCTGACAAGTCATACCGTATGACCGTGACTGGGTTTTTTTTCCTTGTACACACTGGAGGAACTTTTGTGAGATCTTGTGGTTGGTAGAGAGTGGTGGGGTCCTTGCGTACATCTTGCACATGTTCTCCAATTCCTCGCAGGATCTCTCGAACAGAAAAGTAGATTGCACAGCCAAAAGCACATGTGCATGGGAAAAGATTTCAGTAGGTTATTGGTGGGACTTCAAAGCGGTATCTCTGGATACTAGCATAACGGTAAGGACTACAGTCCTCTCTAATAACCGCCCTCACAACATGGATGACGTCAAGCTTGAATTCTTCAAAATACTCAATTTTTCTCTAGCGCTCGGCATTGCGAAGACCGCATGTTAAGATCAGGCCACACCAAAAGATCGTGGATCTCGATCTGAGAATGCGACCATACCCAGCTTATTCATCAAAGTTAGCAGTCTCTAACTACTACCATTTTTGATCCCTACCTCATCCTTAAGAAGGCAAAAATTCCGAAAATCGACGTCTACTCAAAAATGAGGTCCACCTCTTCTTATCATAGTTGCCGTAGTTCTAGAAGAATGGAAATGAGAAGCTGTGCAAAAGAAGGGCACTAGTCCTAGTCCTTAGTGGTGATTACCTTGTAGATTGGAGATGTCTTTTAGTGACTGAAAATTTAGTCCGAAAATTGGTCAAAGTGTCGCAGGACTTTTCGACCAACCTAATACTTTTCATTTTCTCAATTTTTTATTCAGTAATCGAAAGTTTCACCAATGATAGAAGAACGACTATTTTAAGTACATGAAGCAGACCGAACACTATTCGACAGCACTTCAAGCTCAATTTGATGTCAATGTCGCAATAGCAAGAGCTCTTGATCATGTCGATGTCAACGATGAGAAGCAGTGGTCACTTACTGAGAGAATAACCAAAGCGGTCAGTTTGGCTTGCACTCATACAGCATAGATGAGTTTAAAGTCTTGTCATCATTCACTGTTTAGCATTTGTTAAGATTCTGCAACCAAAGTGATTTGATTGCGGCTGGATAGAGGCTTTGGAAGAGCTCTGAAACACTTGACACATTTTTTGCGCACTAACTTCGCGCAAAAGGAATTAGAAAACTTAATGATAGGCTCCTGAGGTTGGGTATTCTATATACTTTTCATTTTCAAATCTGAACCGATAATTAAACTAGGTTCTGAACCGGCGACGCTGTATCATTGCCAATGACGCACCAAGACTCCCAGGACCTAGCTTGACCTGCGGGCCTTCAGCCGAGAGTTTTCGAAATAAACGCTTCCAGCCTATAGACTAAGAAATTTTGCCCCATTCGGACCGCGTACTTATCGTCAAATTTCGGTTCAGTATGAAAACGAAATGTATACAGAATACCAGCCTCAGGAGCCTATAATCCCAAAAGATTCTCTTTTTGCGCGAAGTGTGCGCAAAAAATGGTTCAAGTGTTTCAGAGCTCTCCAAATCTCTACCCAGCCCCAAATTCAAATTCAGTTCGTTGCATGAATCTTAACAATGCTAACAGTGAATGATGACAAGACTTCTAATCCTACCTCTGTGTATGAGTGCAAGCCAAACTGACCGCTTTGGTTATTCTCTCAGTAAGTGACCACTGCTTCTCATCGTTGACATCGACATGATCAAGAGCTCTTGCTATTGCGACATTGACATCAAATTGAGCTTGAAGTGCTGTCGAATAGTGTTCGGTCTGCTTCATGTACTTAAAATAGTCGTTCTTCTATCATTGGTGAAACTTTCGATTACTCTGATTAAAAAACTGAGAAAATGAAAAGTAAATTGAGAAAATGATCAGTGGTTACTTTTGTTCCTCAACCTAGAAAAAAGTCTTCGTGGAAAGGGTTTTCTGACGATAAAGAGCTGAAGGCGATAATCAAAGCAAATTTTGTAGAGAAGGACAAAAATATTTTCAGAGGATATTGAAAAGTTAGTTTCCCGAGCAAACAAGTGTATTGAGGTTAAAGGAACTACATCAAAAAAATACATTTTATTCAGAACATCTTGCCTTTTTCTTTACACCTATGCAGAGAATACATTGAACACCCCAAATTTCACTGATGCTTGGAGACCGTTTTGCGCCATAGAAGTGTTTTAAAACCCTTGAGCAAACCCTTCGATTTCTCATGGTCTAAATATTTTGTTCAGATATCTTTGATAGCGTGAACTTAGTCAAGGTGGCCGAACGATTTGTCTGGAGTCAGCTGGATCTCCGCGCTGTACGGAGGAATAAGTCGGCTGGTTCCCAGAGGAAACGAATTTCATATGAACTAGAACTTCTCACGGTTCAGCTTTGGAAGATGGTAACCTACTTTGCCGCATGTGAATGAATAGAAATCGTCGCATGGATCCACATTTTCATCGATGACGTTGAGCAGGATAGACGCCGCTATCTGAAGCGATATTTAGTTAATTTTCACAACTGAAATTAAATTGGGAAATGGAAGCTTAGGTCGTACTAGAATTGAAATGAAACTTTTTGGGAAGAATATAAGATGCAGAGCACTGTCTACGCTGGCTTGGAGGAGACACTATATACCAGGTCCCTTAGCTGAACCGTCGCAAGGGAGGTCTGTCCCTTCTTATGTACATTTGTGGGAGCATAGATTCTAACCAATGCATCGTCCCCGTTCGCAGGACCGGCATGATTGCCTCTGAGGATTCTGCAGTACGACAAGCAGCAGGGCGCTGATCAAATCGAAGGTTGGCAAGGACGGAACAAATTTTAGCACAACACTCAGTAAAGAACAAAATTCTCCTGACAGCGAAATAATTTTCAAAGGCAAGTGACACGGTTGATGCTTAAGAGGTGTAGCATTAACACCTAGCAGGTCACAATTCGGTCTCCCTGAGCAAGTGCTGTGCTGCGCCTCTCCCAAAGGAGGTGCCTTATAGCGCCCTACCGATCCTCAACATACCGTCCGGACGCCCACCGCGCCCGCCGCATACGAATGTCCGAGCGATGCTGATGCTCATATCGCTCCATTGCAAGGCAAAATATGAAGCCAAAGGACTGGTATGAAACGGCTGCGGTACTGCATGGATATA